TTTGAAACAGAGTCTTCCTCAATTCGTGCAGTTGCTGCGCAACTTCGCACGATGGGACGTAAGGTCGGCTTGCTTCTTCATAGTCGTGAGGGCCACCATTTAAAAAGGAGTCGCCCTCCCTCAGTGCAAATGTTGCAGAAGTTTACTTCATTTGTTTGTGTGGGACAATGTGGCACCATTTAAACTTTGGGTATGTTCTAGTGACGGGAACCATTCATTAAGAATTGCCTACCCTCCATGCACCTTTGGCGGAGTTGGATGCCAATCTGCGCGGTGCCAAGGCAGGAGCCACATGTTGAAAAACAATCGTTCCCGATCTTTTTTGCTGGTGGAGGCTTTACCGTGAACGTGCGCGGTGTCAGGGCGAGAGCCACATTTGGAAGACCACCGGTTGTTCCATCTGGGTACCTGTTGGCAGTTTGTAACACGAACTTGCGCGGTGCCAAGCCGAGAACAACAATTGGAAGACCGTCCGCTCCCCATCCCTGTGGCATCACTTAACCCTTGCGACTGAAATTTTTGAGGCGGACGTGCGCGGCGCGGAGGCGAGAGCCATATTCTGAGGGTCGCCTACCCTCCACCGCTGCAAGTGCTGCGAGTGTGAAGCTGGGAGGTCACAAACGGTGAGGAAGTCCCCGCCGAAACGTCCTGGCCGCCGTGCCGCGAGGCCTGGCGACTGGACGTGGAGAAGTTGCTCGGAAGGAAGGGGATGGATGAGGACGACGAGGAGGCAGAGGAGGGAGGGAGGGAGGGAGGGAGGGAGGGAGGGAGGGAGGGAGGTGGATGATGACGCAGGGGGGCGGAGGGGGAAGACGAGTGCTTCTGTTTGTGTCGAGGAGACTCGGCTGCGAGCGGAGGGGATGAAAAGGGGCGGGCCTTCTCGTGAGTCCCAGCAGCTCCCCGACTTCCTGAGAGGTTTCGCAAGTCTCCTCCTCCTCCTCGTCCTCCTGCCTCGTCATCGTCATCGTCCCCTCCTCCTCCTCCTGTTCCTCGGCCTTCCCCGCGGACACAGGAAGCTTGTCAGAAGGCGCGAGGATTTCTGAGAAGCCCCGCCGCCTTCTGAGAAGGCCTTCTCCCTCTCACTCTCCCCCCTGTGAAGATGCGACTTCTGAGATAGGCGCTCCTTTTTTCCGTATGTCGCCTGAGGCTCAAGGGCCCTGGGAGCCGCAATGTTTACGGACAAGAAACAAGTTAGACGAGGGGCTAACGCTGGGCCATCCAGCACTCTCGCTGTCACAATGGTTCTAACATTATGTTGCCCCTGGTCGATCAAGAAGCATAAACACGGAGGGCACGGCAACGTGCTACAACTAAATTTCCCATGTCCCGCAGCGGGCAACATCCGCCATTTCAAAAACAATTGACAGCCGTGCAAACAGCTTGCAAAGGAAAATGCACAGGCAGCCGATAGGCTTCGTAATATGGACAATGGACAATGCATAGTGGTCTCACGTTATCAATATCTGTCCACTGTAAGAATACATCGAACCAGATACTCCCAGCCGGTCGCCCACGCACTCGGCATCGCATTCGACTCGCGGTCGTTCTTAGGCGGGGTGTCTTGGTGATACATGATAACTCCATCCATCGACTTCCTGATCTGAGATCCATCCATTATTTTATTTAGCGTATCGGTTCGCATATATTTAGTCGGACACCAGGCCAAAGGCAATTTGGATTTAGTAGCTGCTGCAACTTCTTCCACGATGTCGTCCTCCATGAGTTCCCGCAGTCCAATCAAATCCCAAACCAATCTACGCCCAGCCGGAAGTTTAACAGCTCCTTCTCGGTGAATTGTGTCGTATAACGAAGCACAGTCCGTCACATTGAATCGGGCATAGCATCGGATCGATGCTGTCGATATTCGTCTTCGGAAACAAAATATTAAGAACTGAAGCGCGCATAACAATGGCTGCCCCCATAGCATCCACTGCACTCATGGTCTCTGCGGCAAACGTGCTCCAGCATACCCTTCATATGGTAGCTGACCTCCAGTCGACCCTAGCGGCTTTGCCTTTTCCGTTCTGCATGATCCTTTTCTCCGCCACGAATAGTAGAAACCCCGCCTGGCTCTTAGCCTTGAGCCCCTTCGGGGCCTCCGAAGCGTTGGCGGTGCGCATTCGGCGTCGACACCACCAGGCGGTACCAGCTACTTTGTCGTCTGGCTCATCCACGTTGGCCCATGCAGCATCATGAAACACGAGAATGCAGAGCTCGCCCTGTAACTTCGGGATCGTAATGGCGGTATCGTTGTAACGTTTGGCCTCGGACACGATGCGATTCGTCTCGATCAGGTCGGCCACCGTCGGTGAGTTTTGTACTCTCTGAGCCATCGAAACTCCTGCAGCTAGATCTGGTCCAGTCTGCGTAGCGAGCCGACCCAAACTGCCAATCAAGCTCCGGTTCTCGGCGATCTCGATCTCACTGGCAGGGCAACCTAGATCTCGTTTGCGCTCCTTGGTCAACTCGAGCGGTTCTAAACTTCTCGGCGAATACTGATTGGCTCATTCGAATTGCTCCGCCTGAACGCTGAACAACATCCATAGCGCAGAAAGTGAAATCCAGCCCTTGCCAACGTCCGAACGGAAACAGTTTCTAATCATATCATAGCTAGTTTGAGTACTGGCAGCAATCAGTAGATCACCCACATGAACACATACAATGGCTTGCAGAGTTCCATCTGAACCATGTCCCACAAATAAAGCTGGAACAACCAACCTTTTAAACCACATTGAACTTCTTGTCACCTTTGCTCACGAGCTCAACCTCGAGCAGCGCGTTCTTGAGAGTAGCCCACCATTGTCGTTGGGCAGTCGCCAATCCAAAAATACCCTTGACGATGCGTAGTACTTGTCCTGGCTGAAGTCCTGGTAGACCTTGGGGCGGCTGCTCCATGAAAAGAGGTTTGTCTCTGGGCTGCTCCTCTCCCTGCATGAACGCGGACATGACGTCGGCTCGCATTGGGCCCCAGTCGAAGCGCGCTGCCATGATAAAGAACAGTAGCGAACTGGTTCGCGTCACCGCAGGGGCATCTGTCCGTAGAGCTCTTGTCTGTAGATCTGGATCACGGTGTCCTCCAGCACATAGTCGAGCCGTGGCCTTCAGCGGCACAGGGATAGCTTCTGCGCGGATATCGGCATTCTTGTCACGGAACACGAAGCGAGACGGCAGGAAGCGGTTGTTGTCATTCTCGTTCCGGGCTTGTTGGGATCTTTCCAGTGAAAGCGCTTCCACGGAACCAGACTTCTTCCATTTCTCCCAGTGCTCGGCAAAGGCTTTTCGGTCAAGTGGCTTGTGCTCCTCGGGAATGTCCTTCCAAGCGATCTTTTGTCTTGAAGCTTCTCTCTGAGCCTTTCGCTCTGAGCTCGAGCTCCACGAAGCATTGCGGCGAAGCTGGAGTTGGCAGTGGTGCCCTGGTCGCTGTCATCGGCGACGCTGACGACGCAAGGCTGCCCCGCTTGTCGAGCGGCTCGTCGCCCGGCGATTCGGCGAGCAGCTTCTTCTTGCTGCTGACTCCCTCGGATACAACGTGGTACGTCATCAAGTGGGCTGTAGACTGCTCGGCGTCGCTGAAACTCCTCGCGGTTCCAGTCCTCGTAGTTGGGTACAGGGCGATCCGGTACTTGTCCGGGTGTCGCTGTTGAAATGGTAGTAGGCGGTGATGGGGCTGCTTCAGCTTGACCAGATGGGAGCTTCTCTGCAGGTGAGAGCTCAACATCATCACGCTGCGTGGGAAAGTCTAGCTGGTCTCGCGGTTTTCTTCCGGAAGTTGCTCGTGCGCGTCGCACGTCGAAGGGACTTCGCCGCCTTCACTACCCCTGGTCTGCATCCTGAAAATCCCAACGATCGATCTGGCAAGATCATCGTTGCTGGGGTGGCCTAAATTCTGGTGAATTTGTCGTAGAGCTGCGAGATCCTTGCTTGAGCACTCTGAGCTTCCAGGCCCAAACTGAATGGCCCTGGCTCCGATGTCCTCTGCAACAGGCTCTGGCTTGTTCCATGGCTGAATCTTCAGCTTGCCAGTGCGATCCAACTTCGGCTGGATCGAACCCGTCATCTCGGTCCACGCGGCCACGCGGCTCCAGTCAGGTCCATCGGGCAACTTGACCGGCATCTCGGTGAAGTCGCCCACGTTCTCGTAGTAGAACCAATCGTCTGATTCGCCACCCATAAGATCCGAAGTCGCCGGTCGCGTGGACTCCGTGCTCCATCATGTAGGTCATGTTGCTGTGCTGCTATGCCTGCAAGATTGCCTTCGCGAGCTGTCTGGTGTATCGTTCTGCCTTGCGTGTGTAGTGAGCTCCTTCCAGTTGGTGACGCGGGTGATGTCCGTCACGCTGCCTGCTCAGCCGCCCGACGTAGGAGTCACTAGAGACCAAGAGCGTCGTCGGCTTCTTGACCATTCCGTTAGACTGCTGGTGTCGTAGGTTGAACTGGCACATGTCTACCTTCACCTCTTTCACACGGGGATGCTCCTTCAAACGCTTGATCTGTGACTGCCTGGATACCTCCAACGTCTCGGGGTTCTCGAACAGGTTGTCTCGCTTGCTATTCAGCTCATCCCGGAGACGCTGGCGACGTAGTTGTTGTTGCTTAGCTTCGCCTCGATAGTTGACCCTGGTGAGTTGCGTCCAGAGTGTGCAGGGGTACTCCAGCGTGAGGAGCTTCGGCCTGCGGGTGCGACAGAGCTGTAGAATCTCTCGTCGATCTTGGGCGCTCCGTAGGTTGTACTTGTATATCTGTTCGATGGGCTCGCACACCTTGAGTCCTGCTCGACTCAACTCCTCTGAGACGACGGCCTCACCTGCAAAGATCTGCACCAGGTCGTAGCACGGGTCGGTCTTGACGTTGAACACGTCGCAGAGGTCTTGCACGATAGCCTTGCATCCCGAGAAGAGTGGCTTCACCAGGAAGGTGCCGACGAACGTGGTCTGCCACTTCAGGAAACTGACGGCCTTTTTGATCATGTCCTTGTAGCGCTTGATCTGTCCCGACTTCATCTTTCGTTTCACTCTTTCTGTTTTCTGCTCTTCCCGTTCGGAACATCTCCCAAGTCTGGTCCTCCTCTACGCCGATGTCTTCTGCTGCAGTAGCCATGTCGCTGATCGATGAGCTCCTTCTCCTGGTTGCTGGTTCGTCGCTCTCTGAGTCGTCCGAGGGCTGTGGTCCCACTGGCCTTGCCCGTTGCCCCCTTCCTGAGCTCCGACAGGCCAAGGAGGCACTCCTGGTCGCTAAAGCAACCTTCGAAGTCGTAAGCAGCGGTACCTTGTCCTTGGCCTCCTCCTTCTAGAATGCTTTCGGTATCTGCCCCAGCGACAAACACACGATTTTGTCCTTGAGCATGTCGTCGGTTACTTTCACGTTGCGTTTCTTGGCCAGCCGGACCAACTCTGCTCGTGACTTCTTGGCGAGTCTTCGGAGTTCTGGATCCGTGGCCCGAGCTCCTCTGCGACTCTGGCCGTTCTCGATCCGTTGCTCGCTGAGGATCACGCGCGTCTCTCTGCAGCCCAGACCTTGGAACTCCAGCCCGTTGCTCTCCATCTCCCCCTGCAACTCCACCTTGACCATAGTCCCCAGTGGTAGTAGTCGTCGGGGTGCTGGTGCCCCGGCCTGCCTCTCGAGGATCTCCTCCTTGCCGCGGCGGCGCCCGTTGTGGAAGATGATGGCCGCAGCCGGATGCCTGGTCATCGTGATGGCTAAGGACACCAGCTTGAAGACCTGCTTCCAGCGCATCAGCGCCACGGTGTTGTACTCTGTTGGCGCTGACATCGAGGATGTCTCAACCCTGGATCCATCCCAGCACGCTGAGAGGCATCCGCACATGAACGACAAAACTGATCTCGAGAATCACCTGAAACGGTTTGAACCACACTTGGTTGGGGCCGACTTGTTTCATCATCATCATCATCATCATCATCATCATCATCATCATCATCATCATCATCATCATCATCATCATCATCATCATCATCATACCCATCCTTTACATGGAATCGCACACATCTTGCTGGTGCTTGTGCTTCCTGCTTTTGCTTAGGTTTCTGTACTCCGGCACGCTCATTCGTTTCCCGAAATTGGTCCGTACAGGGTTCTCGTTGGGGTGTTCCCGAGGCTTTCTGAAGTTTAGTTCGCAGTGATTCGGATCGCTCTCGCAGTTGTTGAAGTTTAGCTCGTACTGATTCGGATCCTTCATGATGTTGAAGTTCAGCTCCTCGTGATTCGGGTCGCTCTTGATGCGGTTGACGTGGGGCCCCCTTGGATCCCGTTGGAGGCCCACTAGGAATATATCGTACTTGTTCTTGGGAGTCCTCCATAGCATGATGATGCTGCGATCGATGAGGATGGGGGCTCATGTCAAGTTCTTTCCACCAGCGCTGTGATGGCGGAAGCAGCCTGATCTCTGTCTGGCTGGGGCTCACGTCTGGAGCCATGGTAAAAATGTGAGCCCTGTCGAACTCCAGCACGTCGAAACTCGGATGTCCGCTCTTGGTCTGTCCGAGCTCGAGGTTGGAGACGCCCAGTTTCCTGAACGTCATGGTGCTCTCGCCAGCCTCCACCTCGTGGTCGTGTACGGCTCCCAGCTGACCGAGAGCCTTCTGTGACAGCAGCGCGGGGACCAGGCACGGCACGATGGACATCCTCAGCGTGAAGGGACGTCCGCGCATTGCGAGCGGCACCAGCGCTCCAATCGTGCTCATGACTGGCTTCCCGGCCCCGCTCCTGACAATTTCGTGTTCGTCAAATTCGATCGGCTTGAGGCCCATCTTCGCGAGCCGCTTCTTGATGTCATCGTGCCATACCTGTCCTCCAACGGACTTGGCGCAGCACGAGTCTGGTAGCAGCTTGCCGCCGCACTGCTGCAGCAGCTCCTCCTTCGTAGCCATGATAACGTTCACGGTGCCCGTGCCTGTCATCAGCACGCTGTTGTTGATGAAGAACGTCTGCTTCTCGATCTGCTTCTCCTTGCTGCTCCAGCTCGTGAGATACTGCTCTGATACCTGGTCTTCCTCGTCATTGTCGTCGGCAGTCGTGATATGTGCCTTGCTTGGCGTTCCCGAACACTCGGGGTCGCCCTTCCAGTGTCCCAACTTCTGGCACACCGCACAGTGAGTCCTCGCCTTCAGCTTCTTGATGCGGTCCGAGCCCTTGCCGCCAGGCCCCTTGCCGCCTCCGTGACTGCCTTTCCCGCCAGGTCCTTTACCAGATCCGCGCCCAGGTCCCGGTAGACGATCTCTATGATCAAATCCTCTGGCTTGTTTGGCATCCTGTTGCCTGTCCTTCCCTCTTGGGAGCATCTTCTCTAGCTTGTAGACTTCGGCCTCCGCTTCATCGTGCTCCTCGAGTAACTCCTCCGGCAGGTCTTCGTCGTCCACCTGGGTCTCGTACGCTTCGAAATCCTCCTCTTTGTCGTTCTCGGTGAAGTGAGCTCCCCATCGTCGAGGTCGTGTTGGTGGACCTCTAGGCGCTAGTGGCGTCATGGGTGCTGGCCTCCGGGGGTTGTGCTTATCCAGTGTTTTTGCGTCCTTCACGTTCAGCAGCGTCTGCTTCTGTAAGGGTTTGAGCTCGTACTTAGTCTGATTGGCGTTCAGCACTCCAGCTTCTCGATCTGGCGGCAAGCCTAGCCACCACATGAACAACCACGCCAGCGCTTGATCTGGGAACTCGATTTGCACGGTCTTGAGCCGTGAGACCTGCGTGTCGAAGCGGTTGATATAGGCCCTGATCTCTTCGCCGCTGTCGCGGCGCATGCGGGTGAAGAAGGTCTTGAGCTCGGACCCGAGCTCCATCACCTTCTCGTCATCAAACTTGTCTGCTAGGAAGTCGAGCAGCACTTGGTCGGGTCGAGGTCCTCTGCGTGTATCCAGGCGTCGCCCTTCAGTTCTGCGTAGAGCTCCGCGGCCTGCCTCTCGAGGGGCAGTCTGGTCCGTATCTTGAATATCGCCACTCGCCTCCTATAATCCTTCATCGTCATCGTCTGTGGGTCGGCTGGAGCTGGAACGTGTGGTCCTCCCAGCTGCTGGGTACGTCCTTCCTCGCCTTCTCCTGGTTCATCTGGTGGCTCCATCTTGGGGGCCATGCTCGCCGGAACTGCTGTTGATCTCCGGTTTCGTACTTGCTAGTGTGATGCGGTCTGTCCGCTGAACTCGATGCGACGAGCTGCTTCTCTTCGCTGCGACGACGTCGTGTCCGTGGGTCGAACAGCTCCGCTACCAATGTGAAGATGCGACTTCTGAGATAGGCGCTCCTGTTTTCCGTATGTCGCCTGAGACTCAAGGGCCCTGGGGGCCGCAATGTTTACGGACAAGAAACAAGTGAGACGAGGGGCAAACGCTAGGCCATCCAGCACTCTCGCTTTCACCCCCCCCGCTCGCCGCCGAGAGGGGAGGCAGGTGGAGGAGGGCAGGAGACACGAGTTCCTGTCGATGGGTGAGCCTGTCCGCAGCTGCCAGGGTGACAGGAAGAGGAGGAGGCGGCACAGGAGGTGGAGCTGGGTGGCGGCCTGACGGCGTTGGAATGGAGGCAGAGGGCGACAGAGGGGGGCGGGAGAGGCGATGAGGCAGGCGAGGTGGAGGGGGGAGGCAACCCATGGGAGGCTTGTACGTCTTCGGGAGTCCGTCTTCTGAGCGCAGTGCGCAGCGCTAACGATTGGTAGTCAATCGATGAGACGGCGCCGACATAGCGTCGGCGTGCGTCGATTCGGCGTCCGTGAGTGTCGACTAGCGTCGGTTGGCGTCGGTTTGCGTCGACTCGCAAGTGCCATCAAAATGCCACAGCAGGCTTCCGTGAGTTGTCGCAGATCAGTACCGCTTACCCGACCGTTATCCGAATCCCCAGATTCATCCATACCCCCACCATCCCAGCACCCCAGTTGGGGATGTACCCCTCGAAACCCAAGGGAAACAGGAAACATCTTATATCCCTATCCAGGAGTGTGAATCGGCCACTGGGGCCCAGGCCACGACCATGAGGATAGGGGGGGAAGTGAGAAGGAGAAGGCCTTCTCAGAAGACGGTGGGGCTTCTCAGAAACCCTCGCGCCTTCTTAGAAGTTTCCGATGCCTTCGGGGAAATCTAAGAAGTGTTTGCTCGGGACCGCGTGGGGGCGAGGGGCGGGGGAGACGACGACGACGACGACGACGACGACGACGACGATGACGACGACGACGACGATGACGACGAAGAATACGACGACGACCGCGACGACAACGACGACCACGACGACCACGACGACCACGACAAGGAAGAGGAAACAGAAAAAGAAGACGGTGAGGGTAAGGACGAGGAGGAGTAGGAGGAGGAGGAGGAGGAGGAGGAGGAGGAGGAAGAGGAGGAGGACAACGAGGTCGAGGATAGAGCCCTGAACATCGCCTCTTGGAGCCCTCTTGGGGAGCCCCGGGCTTGGTCCGCACCACTCCCCGAGCGGACCGCAGGACGCCGAGGCGATCCTGCGGCGCGTCGCCGAGGGCAGGACGGCGGCTTTTGGCGGCGGCGCCATGGCTGCGTCGGAGGGCCAGGCGCTCCCAGGCGCCCCCAGGCCATCTTGGGGCGATCTCTGGGGCCTCTTGGGCCGTCTTGGGCTCTCGGAAGGCCGAAAAGAAGCAAATGCCAAGATCCTTTAAGGAGCTATGGAACACCGATGATGTTGGCCTCTCCGGGCCCTCCTGGAGGACGTCTTGGGGGCGTCGTCTTGGGCCATGTTGCAGGCTTCTTGGGCGCGGTCTCGTTGGGCCCTCTCGGACTCCCGTGTTTCGGCCCCGGGGGCAGGCCTGGCTCACGTCGGTGGCGGCGGCCTTGGGGTGAGAACCCGTGCCACATCACGTATAAGCACCCGCGTGTGGGCCGCGCCGCGGCCTCGGGTCGGCCCTCCAGGGGGGATCTCGTTGAGGCAGCAGAGACCCCCACTGCGTGCTGGATCTGTTACGGGGCGCCCATCCCGTAGAACCCCTTTCCTGGATTCTGCAGCAGTTCGGAGCAGGCCAGGAGCTGCAACGGCAACCAGC